TCTAGTGGCGCAGACTATAAGCCCAAATGACATTGTCGCGGATAAACCTGAAACTCATCGGAGCCGTTTAGCCCGTCATTGCCACAGCCTTCCTTTAATTCCAAGTATACCGTAGCAATAATTGATCCCTATCGGTATGGGTTGAAACTAATTTGCAGTTGGTTGCGGATGGAAATTCAGTTCAGGCAATAAGGTCCCTTGAAGCATTACCGCCTAAGCGCGAGACCTCAACCCCCACAAAACAGTGCATGCCTAAGTAACAATATAAATTTGTTTTGTTGACGAATTCCCTTGGTGAACGGTAGCTTCTGTCATCCAACTGTGCTTTGCTCTATTATAGGATACCTAATCCCATCGTTGCCCGCTCTCCACCACGGGAGATACCACTATATAAATAGGAGAATAGATGCACACATTTCGCGAAAAAATTTTTCTCACTGAACTTTCGTTATACCCGGTTAAAGGTCTTGCAGACGGTCTTTTCACGTTCATCCTCCTGAAAAGAAATCCTTCTAAGCCTTGATATTCTTTTGTTGCTCTTTCCGGAGTTTATGGTAGCAGAACTAATGAATTGTTTTCGCTCTTAGCAGGCTTCGGCTTTTTAATTCTTGAAGTAATCACGTTTCCGCATCTTTGTCTTGTTCGTTGTAACAGTCAAAAAAGTTTCTGTTTGTGTACATTGGCAGTAAGTATTATATAATAAGCTAATTAAAATTACTATGAACTAAGTGGTTAGCAACATTGGAAAAGTGAATGAATTCGCGGCTTCACTTGACTAACGATATTTGCGCACTAAAATAGCCTAGATGTGATACAGTTGAAGCAAGTCGACATAAGTTGCGGTCAATCAGGCATCATTTTAAACCTTTACTGTCCTTTGTCATCTGAGCATCCTTCGAAAGCATGCGTTTCCTCTCCAAAAACTCGTATTATATTCTTACTTCCCGTGAAAATCTCAATTTAGAAAAATATCTTGGTGTTTCTTTGTTTTACCCAGAGCAACGTAATGTGGTGGTTTTGACCCACGAAGTAAATGTTAAATCTACTCAGATGTCGCAGTCAAAAAATATATAATGCAAAGTTATATATTAATTGAAATTTTTAGTGTTAAAGCGGTTAATCTTTCATTTTGCATTTATTTAATGAAATAATCGTGTTCAGATGAAGAAATATCTGCAGAATCCACTCCCCTTAGTCGACTGCTGAACTTGGAAGATCTCTGGGAAATGCTCAGCGAGTGTCTCAATCTTTTGGCAGAAGCTAGTGATCCTCATGCGGTACTGATTTTTCAGCCAGCCGTGGAAGCATTTTTCCTGGTGCATGCCGGAGAAAGGAAGAAAAAGGTTCGATTTTTTTACATATTATTGTGCAACTGTTTTGTCTCTTATTGTTTCAAATTTTAAATTGATATGCTCACTATATGCTAAATGTCACAA